TGCATGATTTAAACTCTTCTATCTAACAGTGAGAAATGGTGGGGAAGCTACGTTGACGTGGCTTGACCCCAATGACAATGAAATTGATGCTGATTCAGAGCCCTACTATGAGAAAGCTGTTGATGAACTGTCCAAGGGGCTGGAGATGACCCTCTGTGACCCAAATCTGGGAGGAATCTTCACATGCGCAGGGCAATTTGATCAATCTGGAGCTACTGCTAGAGCCCAGATTAGAATCCGTGTGATCGGTAAGTGGCATTCTGTTAGGGACTCCGCATTTGTCAAAGGGCCCTGTTGATCACAGTGTAGACCACGTTGCAGACAGACCTGGATATCCCAATATGGATTGGAATTCCAGGACTGAGAACTCTATATGAACCATGTGAAAGTCAAGTAGGTGGAGAAAGTTTTGGCCCTCACGCTCTCTCTGTGTATTTATGCATGCTAATGACCCGTCATAGCTTCTCTCAGTCGTAATGAGGTGATGGTGCTTGGACATAGGAATAGAGCCCAATGTGGCCTGTGTGTTTTAAATGCAGAGAGCCACAGTCTCACTCCATTTCCCAAGTACAAATCTATAGGGGCCTCACCAAGTAGAATATCCTGGTTTCCCCCAGAGAAAGGGAGCATTTTCAGCCATTTAAATATGTAACATATGTGTCTTTAATATTGCTCAATACTTATTCATTTTGAAGTATTTAAAATAAATACATTTTTCACCCCTGCGGTTCAGGAAGTACTGGAGTAGGTGTGCAAACAAGTCCGAACTGGTCAGAGCTTGAGAAAGTTACTATTTGATTCTACTGTGTTTCCCCAAAAATAAACAGGATCTTATATTAATTTTTGCTCCAAAAACACATTAGGGCTTATTTTCAGGAGATACTTTTTTTGTGTGTACAACAATCTACATGTATTCAAACACAGTCATGTCATCTTCTTCTGGTTGCTGCACAAGGGCGGTGGGCGGGGTTTCACTTAACGCGAGCTTATTTTGGGTGTCGGGCTTATATTATGAGCATCCTGAAAAGTCAGGTTAACTTGTATTTTCAGGAAAACAGGGTACCAGAATCCTCCTGAAAGTGTGGAACTGTAGTATGAAAAAAAAATTGCCTCTATGTTCTGGGTCTGTTGCTAGGCAACTTCCTATATTCTAACACTTACAGTAAAACTAGGCCTTGCCTGGCAGTTAGTCTCCTGAGAATCAAGAACCAAAGGAATCATTGAAAAAAAAAAGAAGGAAACTAGCCCAGATCCCCCTCCTACCATCTTCACTGGACACCCCCTCAACCCATTTCGGCACGATGCCCTGATTTCATACTGTAGTGATCCCTAACTGCAGCCTTTCAGATGGTGATTTTTTTTGTTAACCTCTGGGTGTGCTTTCTAGAGAGACCCACATTTGTGACCCAAATGGAGCCTGTGAAGGAAGTTCTTGAGGGCACCCAGGTGGATTTCAACTGCCAGGCTAAAGGCATCCCACCACCAATGGTCAGGTGGATCTTTCAGAATCAAGCTCTCAGTAATACTGGCGATGGTAAGTAGGAGATTTTATATAGAGGGACTGATAAACGAGGAGTGGGCAACGAGACCAGAGTCTTCTGACACCATCTGCACTGGACCACCTCTAAACCCTCCATGGACTTCATTGCGAGAAAAGTTTTAGTGGTGATTGGTTTTGCAGTTATAAACACAACAATTGTGACCTTACTCGATGGTACAGGAAATACCTGAGTGTTCTATAACTCCCAGAAGCCTTCACTGATAGCTGTGCTGGCAAGGGCTTCTGGGAGCTTTAGTCCAAGAACCTCTGGAGACTCGAGGTTGGCGACCATTGACCTATACCACAGAGCAATGATTCCCAACCTTGAGTCTCCTGATGTTCTTGAACTAAAACTCCCAGAAGCCTTCACCACTAGCTATTCTGGCCAGGATTTCTGGGAGTTGTAGTCCAAGAACATCTGGGGATTCAAGGTGGGAAACACTGCCATAGAGCCATGCTAATGTACAATTCAGAATATTTCCTTCCCTTCTGGAAGGAAATTTTGGGAGGGAGGGGAATGTCCAGTGGTGGTGGTGGTGGTGGTGACAGTTTTGGTAGCTCAGTTGATCAGCAGTGGTAGTAACAAAGGCAGCCACGGAGATCGTGAAAGGCTGTATGTGGACCCTGGACAATGGGCCATGTGCTAATGACCTTTGCCATAGATGTCTCACCATCTCTCCTACTGATACAACATCATCTCCTTTCTGCCTGGCAGGACGAATCTCCGTTGAAAATGGAGCACTGGTGATAGAGAAAGTCCAGCCCTCAGATGCTGGCGTCTACAGCTGTGAAGCCAGCATTAAAGAGCGGAATGAAGTGGCTTTCACAAATGTCTCTCTCAATGTTAAATGTAAGCACTGATCTGGCATCTTGCTGTAAATGTTTGAGGAACCTGTAAATGTTTGAGGAACCTCAGATTTGGAACACATCTTGAGAACTGGTGACAAGGATTCTTTTAGAGCAGCATTCTATATCTAGTGGCACTGTCTGTTATATTATACATTCCATTTCAATGGACTTGGAGCTGGGAAAAAGCAAAAAGTCATGGCATTGGTCTGGACAATTCTGCTTTTTCCTACTTCCAATCCCATTTATGAAGTATAGTGTATATGAAGAAACATTAAGCTAGATAAACCTGATAAGGAATAGAAGGAAAAATAAACCCACCAATGTTGCCCTATTCCACAGGGATAAGGCAGTTATTTTTTCCCCTAAATGTTCATTTCAGTTCATGCCAACATCACAGGAGGATATTTCTGAACTTCTCATAACAGCCATCAACGAGTTGGGCACCACTACGAAAAAAGTTACTCTCAAAGAAGGTAAACTATGAACAGGTAGCCTTCAAACAGTTGGCCAGAAGTCAGGCTGTCAGTCCCAGCAGGGTAGTGGAATCAGGGCTGGCAGGATCAGTTCCCTGGCACCTAATAAGTACCAGGGACTATGACGCCCCCCTGAGCCTCCCTGTTCCTTCTGAGCCCAGCTGCAATTATCCCTGTTTGTAAAGCAAAGTATCTGAGCGTGGGTTGGTCCTGAATAGACCATGACAAGCCATTAACATTACAAAAATGTGCTCCTCCATTACTGATACAGACTGATCCAGCAGCCTGCATGTGTCGACTCCACTTATGGGGCAGGAATAAAATACTGCAGCGGCTGAAATCATGTTGCTTAGTGTGGTAAGACACACTAGAGCATGCTCATTAAATCAATGGGGAGTCCACTTCTCCAAAGCTCCACTGATTCAAATGAACCTTGTCTAGTTGTGACTAACTTTAGAACAATGAGTCAATGAAAGGTATGGAGGAGTTGACTAACCAGATTCCCACTTATCCCTGCACCTATTCCAGTGTCGTTTACTATGCCAAGCAACAGGATTTCAGCCTCGGCATAAGACTCAGGCATCCTGGCCACTTCTCCCTTGGTATTTGGAGAAAAAAGTTCTTCTCTTTCAGATATTCTTGACAGAGGTTTGGGGACAGGCAGCATCCTGACCATTGTCTTAGCCGCCCTCCTTCTGTTGGTCTTGTTGGTGGTGGATATCTCGTGCTATTACAGACACCAATGTGGCTTCCTGATGTACTGCCGAAACAGCATCCTGCGCAAAAATTCAGCTGGGACAGGCATTGAAAGCAACGGGTGAGTTTGTGTGAGAGAGAAAAGGGCAGGCCTTGGAGATGATGCAAACCAAAGATTGATGATCCATGGATTAAGAATTTCAACTGATGTCGCTCACCAATGGTCTGCATTTCTCCCTCTGTCTCTCTCCCTCTGTCTCCAAGCAATTGATGGGGCAGTTGGGTAGCTGCATATCAGTCTTATTGTTGTAAGATACAATGGAAAGATCAGGAGATTTCAATATGTGCCTCTTGCAATCGGTCACACGGCTCTTTGCTACTGAAACTGGAACCTTATTATGAAGCTAATAATATTCTACAACTATTGTAGACAAAATGGGTTCAGCTCA